CCAGTCACACCTCCCCATCCTCTCTCCTCCCTTCCCCAGCCTTCGGTCCCCGTCGTGTTATATGCCTTCTGCCTGCCAACTCTTGTCCTCTGCCAGCCCTCTGGTTCTGATGGCGGCACTCTGTCCCCATCTCAGTGCCCACAGCCCGCCTGGTGGCAGGTCTGGAGGACGTACAGGTATACGACGGGGAAGATGCGGTCTTCTCCCTGGATCTTTCCACCATCATCCAGGGCACCTGGTTCCTTAACGGGGAAGAGCTCGAGAGTAACGAGCCAGAGGGCCAGGTGGAGCCTGGGGCCTTGCGATACCGGATAGAGCAGAAAGGCCCACAGCACAGACTCCTCCTGCAGGCTGTCAGGCACCAGCACAGCGGGGCACTCGTTGGCTTCAGCTGCCCCGGTGTGCAGGACTCGGCCGCCCTCACCATCCAAGGTTGGTGCTGGTGGGGACCTGGGTGGACACAGAAGTCCTTGGTGGGTTCAGACGGAGGGCTCAGCGGTCCAGAAGGCCAATTTCCACCTACGTACAACGTACGTTATCTTCAGCATCGTAGCCAAGTTCTCTTTGTGGCTTATAGAATTCCATCACATTTGCTATCTTAGAGGCATGGCCCCTGGGGCCTAGTCCCTGACTGCTTCCTGCCTTATCATGTAACCAATAACATTATCAGAGCAACTTCTTGTGGTGTTAGGCACAATCCTAATCATTTTACGTGCGTTAATTAACACGGTTCTCTCGACAGCCCTACAAGATAGATTCTTTGGTGAGTCCATTTTACACATGGAGACACTGAGTCACAGAGGGGTTAAGTGATTTGCCCAGAGTCACCGAGCTAATGAGTGGTAGTGCTGGGTTATGAAGCCAGGCAGTCTGGTGCCAGAATCACACTGTGCCACCTGTGGAAACCAGGAAGGAAGGGGATGAGGGGTCCCTGAGGAGGACGGTTCTTGGTGGGCATCTGAAAGTGCAGGGGACGTGTGGCATTTGCCATCTCACCGTTGCTGGAGCTTGTCCGGCCAATCAAGGAATTCCTCGGTGACCGAGCACAGGGCCAGGCAGGTGGTCAGCTGCTGGCATCCTAGGAGGAGGGCAGAGTAGGAACCAACAACCAGAGTGGCATTTTCAAAATGCAGCCTGGGACCCCTGACATCAGAACTGCCTGGAGGGCTGGTTGATAATGCAGATCCCCTGGCCCTTGCATGCCTGTGTGGGGCCGAAGAGTTTGCATTTTCAGTAGACTCCCTAGCAATTCTGTACGCTCAAACGTTGCCCTTGAGAATTGGCGTGTGAGCCCAGCGATTTTCTTTTTAATTCCAACAAACGCGTTGAGCCAGCGGTTGTCTGGCCTGATGTACTCCGGCCTGCACCAGCGAGGGGTGTCGATCCCAGGTGGAGCGTGACAAGGGTGCTGCCTGTGCCCACGCTTCTCCCCACACAGAGAGCCCGGTGCACATCCTGAGCCCCCAGGACAAGGAGTCGTTGACCTTCACGACCTCGGAGCGGGTGGTGCTGACCTGTGAGCTCTCCCGGGCGGACTTCCCAGCGCGCTGGTACAAGGACGGGCAGGAGGTAGAGGAGGGCGAGTCGCTGGTGGTGAAGATAGATGGGCGCAAGCACCGCCTGATCCTGCCGGCCGCCGAAGTCCGAGACAGCGGCGAGTTTGAGTGCAGAACAGAAGGCGTCTCAGCCTTCTTCAGTGTCACCGTCCGAGGTCAGCAACTATGGTGGTCTGGGCTCCTGCAGCTGAGGCTGATTCCCAGGGGCCATGCAGGCCCTGCCCCCTGGTCTGCCTGCTTGGGGGTCCCTTCCAGGGAGAGCCAAGAGGGCCAGCAGACACGTTTTCAAATTACTCTGTACTTGCTTCCCAATCCTCCCGTGCACCAACACCCTCCAGCATACTTGCCCTCCACATACCCCTGGCTAGGTAATGAGGGTGGGGAAACGAAATTCAATTAAGGGAAGGAGAGGCACGTGCTAACATGTACTGGGTCCCTGCCATGAACCCAACATAATACCAAATGTTTCAAATACATAGGGTTTCACGTAATCTTCACATCTGGATGAGAAGCAGTAGATCTCTACAACACAGATGAAGAAACAGGCTCAGAGAGGTTATGTGATTTGCCCATTATCACACAGCCAGCAAACACCATAGCTGGGTTCACACCCAGGTCTGTGCTTATCCTACTATCTCAGGTAGCCACGGTCAAAGGGAAGCTTTAAGTGCAGGGGTCCAGTGGTTCTCAGGCCATGTTCTGGCTGCTTCAGAACCACCTGGGAAGCTTGTTATAAATGCATATGCCCAGGCCCCCCAGCTCTCCAGCTCCAGACTATCCAGGGTAGAGCCTGGGGATCACTCCGGGAAGGCAGCTTGGGAACCACTGATTCACCTCATCTTTTCGCTTCGAGTGGACATCCTGTCTCAACCCCACTGCAAGGAGGCCCTCTAACTGCTGTACACGCACCCAGTGACAGGGAACTCACTACCTGTAGCGAGCAGCTGTCTCACTGTGGCACCTAAGTCATTCCCCCTTCCTGCCCATCCTAGGGCCGGTGCTCCAGGGGATCCCTTGCAAAAACAGCAGCAAGCGTGGCCCAGTGTGGCCCACGATAATGACCTCCTCTCAGCCTAGGCAAAGGCTGTCATCTGTGCCTCCCCCTCCCCCATGTCCCCGCCCAGCCACCCCCACATCCCGTGGGGACGCCCAGAACACAAAGGTGCCACATGGTTTGCGTTGCCTCACCTGCCATGCCCTCAGTACCCCACGTCATTGCTCCAGACCACCCTGCACAGCACGGCCTTAACCCTCCTAGTGTCCCCTGGGGAGGAAACTGTCTCCTGTGAGTCTCCTGTCTGCGTGACCTCGTTTTGTCTGCTTCCCACCAGACCCCCCGGTGCATATCCTGGACCCCCAGGAGCACGTGTTTGTGCATGCCATAACCTCTGAGTGTGTCATGCTGGCCTGTGAGGTGGACCGAGAGGATGCACCCGTGCGCTGGTACAAGGATGGGCAGGAGGTGGAGGAGAGTGACTTTGTGGTGCTGGAGAAGGAGGGGCCCCACCACCGGCTGGTGCTGCCTGCCGCCCAGCCCCCCGACGGGGGCGAGTTTCAGTGCGTCGCTGGAGATGAGCGTGCCTACTTCACCGTCACCATCACAGGTGGGGGGACAGGCAGGTCCGTGTGGCACCGCCTAGCAGCTGTCACACGATCCCCTCCGGGCCACTCTTCCCCAGGCCCTCTTCCCTCCCCGCAAGCTGATTGCGTGCCCCTCCTCGGTCTGCATCCTACGATTCGGTCACCCGCCAAAACTACGTTGTCCTAAACGCTGGCCAGGGCTCCACGAGTCACAGGGCACCTCTGCCCCTTTCCGTTCTCTGGAGAAGGAGAACCTCTAGGAATGGCAGAGCTTTCCTGCGGGGCAGGGTGTAGGGCAGGTAAGCCCCCACCCTAGAGGGGTCAGAAGACCTCAAAAGTCTATGGGAGACCCTGGCTCCATCTGGGCACCTAACCCACCTCTCCCCAGCCCCATCTTACATACGGTCCCTGCCCCAACCCAGAGAGCGTAGACCATTTCTACAGCCAAGGCTGACACCGTGGTCCCGATGGGGCCACCGTGCCTGTGACGTGCTTTGGTGACTGTGGTTGTCTCTCCAGATGGGGGTGGCTGTCCCAGCAGCTAGGAGACCTAATCGAAAGGCAGATTCTCTTCTGTTTTTTTTTTCTTTTTCTTTTCTTTTCTTTTTTTTTTTTTTGTTGTGATGAGCACTGGGAGTTCTATGTAAGTGGGAAGGTGGGAAGGCTCTCTTCGTCAACACATGGCCCACTTGCAGGAGGAGGGAACAGGCGTGGCTCAGGGAGGGCAGCCGGGCGCCTCGGTCCCAGCTATGACTGTCCCTGTCCCGCAGATGTCTCCTCGTGGATCGTGTACCCCAGTGGCAAGGTGTATGTGGCGGCCGTGCGCTTGGAGCGTGTGGTGCTGACCTGTGAGCTGTGCCGGCCGTGGGCCGAGGTGCGCTGGACCAAGGACGGTGAAGAGGTGGTGGAGAGCCCCGCATTGCTCTTGCAGAAGGAGGACACCGTCCGCCGCCTCGTGTTGCCTGCCGTCCAGCTGGAGGACTCTGGCGAGTACTTGTGTGAAATGCGTGGCAGGTCAGCAGCCTCCTTCACGTCACTTATCTGGTGTGGTTCACCCCAGCCGCCCCGGGGAGTCTGAGACAGTCCCACCAGACCTCGGGGGGCCACCTACCCCTAGTGGCACACTGGGAGAGAGGAGGGTATAGGGTGCATGTGCAGGCTCCCTACTGCCCTTGGAGCCTATATTCAGGAAGCAGAGGCTCACTCCCCCAGCCAGGGCCAGGAAGAAATTGTCCCCTGGCTCATTGCCTAGGTGCCTCCCCATTGCCTGGGCCAGACCCCGGGTGCTGGTGTGTGAGACATGCACCATCTCTGCTCTCAGAGCTGCAGTCTAGCTGGGAGGAGCAGCTTGTGTAGAGGTCATGGCAGGCAGTCCAGCCAGGGCCCCATGCAGCCCACAGATGTGTTTTGTTTGGCCTGCAGAGTCTTACCAAAGTCAGGACAGTTCAAATAACAATCCGGAGTTATGCGTCCTCTTGAAAAAGCCGAAGACCCGGCGGCTCTGGTCCCGATTCCCCCCATGGCGACGAACAGCTGGTGCTGAGTAGCAGCTGCCCCCATAATATGGGGCCCACATTCCTCTGCCCTTCCCCCTCTGCCATTCCTCTTTGCCTCTCCCCAGACCCCTTCCGCCACTCACCTGACCACCTACCTGGCCCCTGTGGGCATTTGAGTTTGCGACCCCTGTGTTAAACCAATAAATGCACAAATAAATGCACAGTTGACACGTCGTGACAAGTGATGTGAAGGAGCAGAGGGCTGGAGAGAGAACAGGAGAGTCAGAGAGGGCTGTGGAGAAAGCCGCCACGCCCCTGGGCTGGACTCTGGACACCCGGTGGCAAGCAGACAGACACGCTCACTTCCCTCCAGGAGCACGCAGCCTGGGAGGAAAGCCAGACACTTTAGAGGGTCTCAGAAGGTGGACTGTCTAGTGTTGTGACAGGGGTACAGAGGGAGCTCAAGGCTGGGGGGCTGCTAACCTTGTCGGCAGGCAGGGAGTGCCTTCAAGGCAGATACTTGGGGGCAGGGGCCGAGGTAGCTGAGTGGGGTCAGGTTTGGGCCGAAGGTAGATGGGAGAATGTTCAAAGCTGGAAAAGCACAAGACGACTGTGAAAGTCACGGTGGTTCGGTGCTGGAAAGTGTGGGGCCGCAGGCCTCAGCGCCAGACCTGGTGTGGATGTGCAGCTCGGTG